TTAATAAAAATATATTAAATGAATATTGATGTTAAGTATAAACAAGAATAAAACTGCACTGTGTAATATTTATTCCAGTGGAAGAAATATAAATATAACCAAGGGACAAAAGTATGGCTGCAATTTAAAGTGAAAGTAATAGAAAATAGAAAATAAAATATTTTTATATAACAGCAATTATGGGAATGTAAATAGGTTGAACTCGCCAAGTAAGAGATTCTTTGATTGATTTAACAATGAAAAATGTTTCAAACATTAGAACTGTACATGAAAGTATAATGTGAAGTTGAATATAAATGATAAAATATCTTCCAGTCAAATAACAATCAAGTAAATATGACAAAGAAGAATTTATTGTAAAATGCATCATAAATACCAAACAGGCACAATGCACATTAAATGATCTCTAAAAGAAGGAAAAATATCAATCACAAACATATATTCTCCTGATAATAATGTCTCCAAAATATGTAAAATAACATGGAATTAACTTCAGGGAAAATTATATAAGTAAAAACATACTTTCCTCAGAAAGTTATATATCATACAGAAAATCATAATACAAGATTGTTTCTGGTTTACCATAGTAGATCAAATGATTAAGTATTATTTTACTTACTCCCAAAATTATACTAAAACTGTAGAAAGGGATCATTTAAAAACATGAAACCATAAAAGACAGATAAAAGAGGAAGCAGCAGCTGTAAAACTTTGACCTAGGAAACCTATATTGTAATTTACTCCACAGGATTTCCAGAAGTTTCAAGATGTGGCATTCACAGGTAATTCAGAAACTGGAAAACAGATTGGACAAGCTAACAAGGAGAACAGTTTATTAACTACTTGAGAAGTAGTTAGATGCCTAGATATTATCTTCCTCCTGACCCTTTAGGGCAGAAACTTTGGTCCTAAGTAGATAGAAATGTGCAGTGAAGATTTTTCTCAGCTGTAGAATGCTAAGCTAAGATGTTAGTCTAGGAACAGTATTTAAAAAATTGGAGATCAATTCTATTAATACTAAATACTGCTTGCTGAGACTCCAGGTTCTCTTACCACCTATTACTGCAAGAAACCTAGCAGCAGTATCTTCGCTATTAAGCAGGGAATCAGACCACTCTGGTCTGACAGTAAAATAAATAAAAACCACTGACTTTGAGGGCTTTCCAAGTTAAGTTTCACCTGCAACACACTGAAACTGAAAGCCAAAAAGCTAACAGATATTTCAATAAGCTTTTTGCTGTCATTGAAGCACACTGGTGGCAAAAAACAAAGTGCTTGGTGGCTGACCAAAAAGTGAGTGGTTTCAATCCACCAACAATTCCATGGGAGAAAGATGTGGAAGTCTGCTCCTGTAAAGATTTACAGCCCAGAAGACCCTATGGGGTATCTCTGCTCTGTTCCATAGAGTTATTATGAGTTGGAATTGACTCAATGGCTGTAGGTTTTGTTATTGTTTATGAATGTTATAAGCAGAATTAGCAGATACCTGAAAGAAACTTCTAAAAGAAAGCTAAAAGCCAACACCTATAAATAAGAAGGTGGGAAATCTTGGAAGAAACAGAAAAACTGTGTATAGAATAAAACTTAAACCACACTTTTAATAATGCCTTTAGACAGGAGAGAAAAATAAAATTATATTTATGAATAAAGAGCAGAGCTATGGATGGTGTCAGTGAACGTGGCACTTACAAGTGCATGTTACTGCACTGAAATATAAAAAACAGGTAGCAGAAAGTATCTGAAAGGAGCTTGTCAGAACTCCAGAAAATAATCACAACTTTATAGCAATTAAGCAAATACTGAATAAAGGAAGAGTCAATTGAAGATGGAAGAACTTTGTGGCATTTTTATGGGCCTTTGCCCCAGCTACTCCATCTCAGCAACAATATTGAAGAAGATTGTTATCTATGTGGAACACTGTCCCCTCATTGAAGAAGGAGCAGAGAAGACCTAATTCATAAATAGTTGTGTTCTACATTTCTGGGGGCTTCATGGAGAGTTACTGTGTATGTGTCTGTCTCTAAAGATTTCCTTTTCTTAAAGACTACTGATACATGTAAACCAAACCAAACCACTTCCACTGAGTCGATTCTGACTTACAGCAACCCTCATTAGGGTTTCCAAGGCTGTAAATCTTTACAGTAGCAGATTGCCTCATCTTTCTCCCATGGAGTGACTGGTGGCTTCAAACCACTAACGTTTGGGTTAGCAGCCCAATGCCATACACACAGTGTCACCAGAGCTCCTATATATATAAATTAACAAGCTACATTGTGAATTTTTTTCTTGGTCTGGTATCACCAAATGAGTCTTCCAGTTAGATTTTGGTAAATTTCCAGATTTCATTTCCTGTAATCTTATATTGATAATAGTACCTGTAACATATGAGTTAGGCCCCCCTAGGAGGGCATTTCTATAGATAATACATTAGATGCCTCTATTGCATTCTATTATATGACTTTTTAAATAATTACATTATTCTTTAGGTAAATGAGACTAATGCATTTGGGAGCAAAATCAGCACATGTGTATCTGTGTGTGTGTGTGTGTGTGTATGTTTTTTTTTTTCCCCCCAGCACCCCAAAGCTATAAATCTGGAATCACTTGCAGTTATTATAGTTCAGTTACTGAGCTTCAGTATGGGGATCCCTTATGATGACAGTAACAAATGCCAGTGCTCGGGAGCTGTCTGCATAATGAGCCCAGAAGCAATGTAAGATGCTTTACTTTTATATTGTTTCTAAATATAGTTTGTATGAAGATAATTTTTCTGTATTTCATTTAAGGAAGTGTAAATTATTAAAATAATTAATAATGGCTGAATATCAGTTGTAGTCAATGACTCCTAGATCAAAATATATATTCCAATGCCCATGCTACATGTCTCAAAAACAAAAAACAGAATATTCAGTGCAATCAAGTCAGATCCAATTCATAGTTGGTTTACAAGGCGGTATCATTACGGAAGTAGATTGCCCAGTCTTCCTTCTGAGGAGTGGCTGGTGGGTTTGAACCGCCAGCCTTCCCGTTAGCAGTCAAATGCCTTAGGCACTACACCACCAGAGCTCCTTCTTCTCTCACTAAAGTACTTATCTCATGCTCTACTTTAGGTGAAACTCATATTGGTAAAAATAGTTGTGGCTATAGAAAATAACCTTTGTGAAATGTTTATGGAATTGAATCAGTAAATAATTTAATTACAACAAGAAAACCCTTTCCAGGAGATGACATAAAACAACTCCAGGTATAAGATACCCTGTTTTGGATACGTATCACTATTAAGACACAATTAAACTAAAGATTTTCCAGGTAAAAAAAAAAAACTTACTGCCATCAAGTCAATTCTGACTAATAACAACTCACACACACACACACACAAAAACTTACCGCCATCAAGTCAATTCTGACTAATAGTGACCCACATTGGGTTTCTAGTTTGGGAGCTCTGGTAGTATAGTGCCTAAGGCACTTGACTGCTAACCCGAAGGCTGGCAGTTCAAACCCACCAGCCACTCCTCAGAAGGAAAGTTGGGCAATCTACTTCCGTAGCGATACTGCCTTGGAAACCCAAGAAGGGGTCGCTATGAGTCGGGTCCAGCTCAATGGCACATAACAACACCACAACAAATCTTTATGGAAGTAGACTGCCCCATCTTTCCTGGTAAAGCAGTTGGTAGTTTCTAACCACCGACATCCTGTTAGATTGTATTATAATGGGGAATTCTCTGGAAAGTATTAATAGGAGATTTTCAATACAGACCTCCTCTAGGGTTCTCTTGCAGCTCCTATTGGGCTACTGGGACCTTGTAGAATTGAGCATTGGTTTGGTTTGGTATATGCCATAGAGTCAGACCCGACTCATAGTGACCCCTCCTTGGGTTTCTGAGGCAGTATCACTACAGAAGTCGATTGCCCCATCTTCCTTCCAAGGAGTGGCTGGTGGGTTTGAACTGCCAGCTTTCTGGTTAGCAGTCAAGTGCTACCAGAGCTCCCAGAATTGAGCATAAGACCATGAAATAATGACTATGTTACTAAAGTTGAATACTTTTATCATAATTTGGGATTTTCACAAATCTATCCAATCTGGCAATCTATCCAATAATCAAAATAGTATATTTAGGAGTGGACTATAAAAGATTCAAAGAGCACAATAAATAGGATGAACAGGGATCCTAGACCATGTTACACCAGTATTTTTCAATCACCTCACACCAATGGCTTCATTGAGGTTTCCAAAAACTTGTTCACAGAGGAAGGACAACCTCAGAGCTTAGTTCAATAAGAAATTTGCTCAATATGTTAATTTGAATTAACAAGTTACTGTTATGCTATTACCCAATTAGACCTAAAAGATAGTGCTCCAATGAGCAGAATTACAAAGAATACATTCGATTTTTCACCCTATATGATAGAAGTGGCCAGATTGTGGCCAGATTGCTTAGATCTACAAAGATTCTAAGCAGTGAAAATGACTTGGTTATTGGGTTAAGGATTTGAAAGTTCCAAAATTGGATATTTAGAGACAAGGAAGTATAGGCAAGAGTCATTTGGATTGTTTTAGAGAGTGTGTGCAAAATACACAGATTTTTCTAACTTTAGTTAATCTCTACATAAATTATCCATCTCAGAAGAGGCACTAAAGAACATAGTGTGTGTATTATATAATATATATATATTAATGTTATTGTATATTATATAATATATATACATAATTTTTATAGTATTTGGGTGAAAGTTTGTGGAGAAAATTAGTTTTCCATCAAACAATTTATACACATTTTGTTTGATTTCATTGATTACAATCCCCTCAATGTAACAACACCCTCTCTCCACTTCCTCTCTGGTTCCCTGTTGCCATTTTTCGTTTTTCTTTCCTGCTCCTCTTGCCTTCTGAGCGTTGTTTTTGGGCAAATGCTTCCCTTTGATCTTGTATGGTTCATTCTACTGAGCAATAAGTTCCTCCCTGGTATTATTCACTTTATAGGTCTGTCCATTGTTTGGTTGAAAGTTGATTCCTGGCTTAAAGTTCAGTTCCAGACTGGAAATATGTGTTAGGACCAAAGTATTAGGGGTTCAACTAGTCTGTCAGATCAGCAAATCTGGTATTATTTTTTATGATTTTGAATTTTGTTCTAAATCTTTTCTCACTCTGTCTAGTACCTTCAATTGTGGTAGTCAGGCACCATCTAATTCTTCTGGTCTCTAGGTAGTGGAAGCTGTGTTTAGCTTGGTCCGTTAGTTCTTTGTAATAAATGTTTCCTTGAGTCATTGATTTTCTTCTCTCTTTTTTGCTGCAGATGGCAGCCAGACCAATTGTTGTATCTTAGATGGCCACTCTCAAACTGTTAAAATCCCTTTCCCTTCTTACCAAACAAGAATGTCAAACATTGTATACAGCTTATTTCTCTAAGATGTATACCTAGTAGTGAGATTGCTGGTTCATATAATATTTCTGTTCCCAGCTTTTTAAGGAAGCACCATACCTTTTTCTAGTAAGTGTGACATGACATCTCACAGCCCTACCAGCAATATAAGAAAGTTCCAGTCTCTCCACACCTTTGCCCACATTTGTTGATTCTTGTTTTTGGAACTTTCCTATTATTGCTGAGGTAAGATGATATCTCATTGTTGTTTTCATTTGCCTTTCTCTGATGTCTAATAATCCTGAGCATTTCTTATATATTTGTTGGCCACCTGTATGTCTTGTTTAGTAAAGGGTCTGTTCATGTCCTCTGCCATTTTTAAATTGCGTTCTAGTTTATCTTCTGCAGTTTGTGTATTGCTTTGTTATATTGATAGTGTATTGCTGTTGTTAGGTGCTGTTGAGTCAGCTCCAACCCATAGCAACCCTATGTACATGAGAACAAAACAATGCTTGGTCCTGTGCCATCTTCCCAATATTTGCAATGCTTGAGACCCTCATCACAGCCACTGGGTCAATCCATCTCATTGAGGTTCTTCTCCTTTTCTCCTGACCTTCTACTTTACTATACTTCTCCATGGACCAGCCCTCCTGACAACATGACTAAAGTAGATGAGATGAAGTCTGACCATCCTCACTTCTAAGGATCATTCTAGTTGTATGCCTTTCAGATTTGTTCATTCTTATGGCGTTCCATGGTAGTTTCAGTATTCTTAGCCAACCAAAGACATCAGCTCTTCTTTGGTCTTCCTTATTTGTTGTCCAGCTCTTACCTGTATAAGGAATGAATAAAAATATCATGGCTGGGTTAGGTGCCCCTAAGTCTTCAAAGTGACATCTTTGCTCTTTAACACTTTAAAAGAGGTCTTTTGCAGCAGATTTGTCCAGTGCAATACAATATATGATTTCTTGACTGCTGTTTCCATGGACGTTGATTGTGGGTCCAAGTCAAATGATAATCCTTGACAACATCAATCTTTTCTCCATTTATTGTGATGTTACTCATTGCTCTAGTTGTGAGGATTTTTGTTTTCTTTATGTTGAGGTGTAATCCAAACTGAAGGCTGTACTCTTTGATCTTCATTAGTAAGTGTTTCAAGTCATCTTCACTTTCAGTAAGCATGTAGTAGTGTTATTTCTTTTTGTTTCTGAGTAGTATTTCACAGTATATATACACCATCTAAAATCTAAATGCACAGAGAAGCACCAAAAAATGAGTGTAACAATATATTTATTGTGAGTAGATATGATTTGAATCAGGCAGCATCACCTGCAAAGTATCAGGAAGGTTCTCAGAAAATGGAATGATGAAAATGAATTATATAAGTCATTGTCATGTTAATTTATCAGGAGATAGCATCAAAAAGGATGCAAGGTTCCAGGTTTGGTTTATTATAGAAACAGTTGCTAGCATACATGTACCATGCATTTTCCAGTCAGATTCTGAGTTTCTTACTACTTGAAACTGGCTGCACATAGATAATATTCCAAAAGAACCCAATGCCTAAGGCAAAACAATTTTTGTTAAACTGCTCATTAGATTATTGTTTGATTTGAAGCTGATTTCAGCAAAAGCTCAAGATTCAACAGGACACCTAAGGCAGATGTCTGGAGTGGATTACCCCAACACTACAGATCCAGAAATCTGGATTGTAGGAGAATTAAAACTGTTTCCCACCATAATCTGTTCATATTGTTAACAGATATTTGAGTTGTTTCCAGTTACTGACTGGTAACATGCTGGAAGAATTCTACGTGTATGAGTGAGGGGGTATGCTTTATTTTTCCTTAAGTATATAGGCTTGTGAGAAATAAAAGATTACCTCAAGGATGTTTTCCTGGACAACTAGACAGTTGGAATTTCCCTTTATTGAGTTTGGAGGTATAAACAATACAAACTGAGCAGGCAGTTTTTAATGCTTTACATATATTAATTAATTCTCACTGTTCTTTGTTTTCCTTGTTGGATCATAATGAAAGACTATGATTAATTTTAAAACATTCAAAAATGTTTGTTCTATTTCAGATTTTCACAATAATATGAGAATATCAGTTGTTCCACATCTTCAGCAAAACATGGAGTTTTAACCTTACCAACCATTGGTGTTTATTAGTATTTCATTATAGTTCTAAAATTACTTCTCCTTTGATATTAAGTATAGATAAATTTTTTCTGTAAGATGTCAAAATATTAGCCACTGTAATTATTTGGTTGCTTGTCTT